AGTGGATTATCAGTTGAAGTACCTTGAAGTGGAAGATTAATAACCAAACTTGATCAAAACTAACTTGATTATTGGAAATATCACAAACGCGAGAGATTCAGCTTGGTTCCAGATGCATCTCTCGCAAAACCAAATTTGTTTGCAAATGAGTGTATTTCGCTAATTTCGTGCAAATCGTCTTCAAGTCGAACATAATGTCAACGGAAACCCGGGGACTGCGCCTACTTGATGAGCCGTCAAAAAGGGCGAAACCGGTTGTGGGCTGTCGACGAATTTTCAGCAGCCTTGTGAGTAGTGCATTACAAATATACATGTTCTCGCGATATCTAGAATATCGTAGCGACTGAAACGTGAGGCAACCTGGTGCAGCACATTCAGTTGCCTGGATACATCACAATCGAGCGATTCAAACATTTTTTTCAAACGAGTGTATTTCGCTAGCTTTGAGTGCCTTTGCTTAGGTCCTTAGCCTGAGTACTTCCAGCTCAGGAGTGGCCGCTTTGGATTTGATACTGAGTTTCCAAAGAAATGCTTGTGTTTTGTTGAGGTTTTGTACGATCGCCGATGTCCATACTTTGGTCGGCAAGGCCGAGTGATGTGCCCATGCTTAGGGTTTCATTCGCCAAGTCGATAGACATATTGTTCAGGTAAAGGGTTATTTATTGCAGGTGGGATTCATATCATTTGAACCACTTTAAACAGTTTTATCCAATGAATTGTGACCCGGTTATACATCAAACAGCGCATGACATTTGGTTAATTTATCCCGATCAGTCGCAGTGATTGGTGCGCCACGCTATACAGCTGACTGGGAGACTTCCATGTATTTGGATTGTAGGCGCTAACCAGAATAACATATACAACTAACTGGGGGACTTCTAGGTATTTGGACTGTAGGCGCCAACCAGAATACTAACGCAATGATCAGACTGTATTTCTCGGGAGTGAAGCCCGCTTCTGTGGCGTTTGATTAGTACTAGATGAAATCGGACAATTTCGGGGCTTTTTGTACTGTCGATTCGTGTGGTTCATCGTGCAACGCATCGGCATCGTCATCAATACCTCCAATATTACTGATGAAACCCATCAGTAATATACACAAGCACTTAACTGCTGTCAGCCAGTAATCCATGAAGATTTCACCCCGCCCAGTTTGAATCTAGCACCATCATTTCACTCTAAAACCTTCTCTTCTAACTGTTCACCAACAATGTTGTGGAACGGAAAGCGACAATTTTTCCGGTGGACCGTGATTGAACTTGCGAGTGCTGATGCTTGGTACATAGGGGAATCTTCTAAGTAGGCGGAATCAGCTATGAACATACTGCGGATATGCTAGTTTGGGTGAAGTTTCTTAAACATTCGTTTTGGGACAACCGAGGGTAGACTTGAGAAATGGGAAAGTTAGATCATCTTTTGACGATTACCTATGCATTGGTTAGACCAATCACTGAAAAGATCAGAACCAAATAACTGGATGCTTCGACATAACTAGGAGAACTCACTACAGTAATTGAAATTCCAGGGCGATGGCACCTAGACCACCGAGACTAAAAACAAAAATGTCCGACGTTTTATCGATCGAAAAACTCACCCAAATCACACCGAGTGCCCTTGAAGGAAGTCAGTTCACAAGCGCATCTCACACCTGTCCACATTTGGATGCATGTTCCCTGATTCAAGCAGTAGTTTGTTCTGTTGGAATCTGGCGTCCCATCAGAACGCCTTCTGGGCCCGGGGCATTGAACCACTCCTGCGGGACGATCAACACATCCCGGAATGACACTTGCTGGTACTGGCCTCGAAATGTTGTGATTTTTTGCCATGGAAAGTACATCAAACGGAGGCTGGTCATTTACGGAGAAGTTGGCAAAACACCCCTGCGGAAGGACCACGTTTAAATAAATGAGAGGTGTTGAATTGGTGTAATTTGTGTAATTTACTACCATATAATTTAATTCTAATTATAAACATTTAGGTATGATTCCGGGGCGAAGGATTACTGACATAAGAGGCCGCGCATGAGGCCTGACCTTCGGATGCCTTATCAGAACACAGTGAAATGTTGAAATGTCTCCCGGAAGTACTCAGCTTACAGAAGAGCCCACTATCAGTCAGCTATATGAAGTGGTCTTCCGACATCTCTGCCAACCTGAAGAGATCCGTGTTGGAAGGAGGTCGTTCTCCACCAGAAACCGCCATTGGTCTCACTCGAGGAAGAAAGTGCAATAGACTGTCTGTTCCAAAGGGGCTGCATAAAGCGACAAAGCAGAGGTGGATTATCTCGAACGGAGATTTCTTTAAAAGGCATTTGAACACCGTGGGAACTTAACAGAAGTGGTGCTGTTTGATGGATGGTCTTTTCAGAGCGGAAAGTGTGTGGCAGAGTAGCGCAGATCGCGCTGTACAACTCAAACTCATTTGGGAATAACAGCTTCACCTTCAGACAGTTGGATTGGTAACTGACTGTGGTATCTAGATGCACAAAATCCTAACGGATGGAAATTTTCATCGGACTACTTTCCTGATGGAGAATGTTTTGTTCACATTACGCGGTTTCGGTTTTGCCTATTGTTGAAAGGAAGAAGGCCTTCGCTGCGGAGTTGTTTACCTGAAAAACACCAACTGAACAGTCACAGACTATTGGACAGGGGAGCAAAACTCTCATATGCATCGTGATTACAAAACTGTGTATCCGTCTTCTTTCCGAACGCGTCTTCCTAAACCTTTCCGGATATTCATTGACCATTGATTCTAACATGACCAGATTGAAAGAACTGGTTTGAGTCCTGAAGGAAAAATATGATGACCTGTCTACTGTTATCGTTCAATACCATTGGAAGGAAGAAGGCCTTCGCTGCAGAGTTATTTATTGGAAAACGTCAAGTGAACAGTTACAGACTATTGGACAGAGAAGCGAAACTCTCATACAAATCTTGTTTACAGAAACTGAACTCATCTTCCTGGACTTTCCTGTATATTCTTGACTGTTGCTCAAATGCAAGAAAATGCGACTCCACAAATTCCGTAATAGATCCCACTTTTCAAGAGATGTTAAGCGGATTTACGAGAAAACATACTACTCGCACGCCCCCATCAGTAGTACCCACCGTTACACCATGACGAAATGGAGAGAAATCCCACCGACCTGAGCAATGATCGGCCAAAAGTTGGTCTGATGTTTTAGTCAAATACCAGATGCCCCTTTTCACACTAAACTTGGCCAGGCCTCCGATGATAAGGATAACGGACTATACCTTAGTTCTCCCTTGCTTGGACGCACTGTTTGCTGCGCACCTCACGTGATCGATACTCACCCACAGTCCCTCATGAACGTTTGACCCTTAACTAATCGAACCGATTCTTACGAACTTTTCAGTTGCGCTTTTTGATTATACTCGCGTTACCACGTGATGTGCGCGCACGATTGTCGGCAATTCTCATGGGTTTGCCATTCTTGATGGGCTTTCATTGGACTAGCACAAATTCGTGCAACAATTGAGGTTTGTATCCCTTTCGTATTTTATCTTTATTTTCGCATTTTATTGAAATATCTCAAGATTTCGTAATTCATGCGTCACTTAACTGGGTTTCCCAGAATACATCACGAGTAATTCCTTCGCAAATGACAAATATCACACTTTGGTTCACTACGGATAGAACTTTCGCCGGGCACCAAAATGTGCATACCAACCACCGGCGTCTGGCACAAGTCGGCACTTAACTTCCAAGTTCCGGATATGAAAAGAGGAAAAACGGAAGGACCAGGGGTTAAAGTGTGTTAGATGACCCCCAATAGGATTCAGAATTTACCGGTCCAGTAAATGAATGTACTTTGTTCCCTCAAAGAAGTATTAACTTTCCCCTGTATACTTACTAGGAAAGGTCCGTATAAACAATTGGGAACCATTTTTCAGCAAAACTCTGAACTAGAAGCACTCCTCACCATGGCATTTATGTGCATAGGATTTTTAGACCAATCACAGAGTTTGATCGATTTCCACACCACCTTGCGTTGCGACAAGCTAGAAAAAACACCGAACCGCACTGCAAAGTGGCTCCCATTCACATTTCCTTGAGACTCCAGATGGAATCGTAGAGCAACCGGAAGTGCTGTCCACATCTGACAGTTTCTGGAAATTATAATATCTTTTTCCTCCACCGGTGAGGAAACCAAAACCGACCTACTTAGTTTTCTTGTTTGAGTTACTAGCATGATGGCCTGTTAATTTTACCAAAATGTTATTTTGGAAGGTTGGCAAAGAAACCTCAAATTGTTACCTTTCCATCCAGGCTGGCAATGAAATCATTCGCTCAAGTTGACAGACTTTGGGAACAACTATGGAAATTGTGCAATCAAGGAGGTACTCCGATTTATTCGTCCATGCGTATCTGTGGTCTTTTTTAAATCAAGCAAAAGCTAGCCCATAGCCATCAGAATTTATCGCAGTGTTTTCAAACCGAATTGACGTCATATTGGTGGTCAAATATGGGAAGAAACTGGTACAGTTCATGTGAAATTCCGATAGACTGACACAGTGACTGAACAATTGTAGAACTGTTTTTTTTTCGAGAAATACACTCATTTGCAAATCAATTTGGTTTTCACGAGAGACTCAAGTGAATCTGTCTCAAGTCGAACAGGAGGTTGACGGAAACTCGGGGACTGCGCCTACCTGATGAGCCCCAAGAAATGCGAAACTGGTCGTGGGCTGTCGAAGCATTTTCAGCAACCTTGTGAGTAGTCCCTTTTGTGGAAAGTGTAGAAGTACTTTCTGCAGAGTACCAGTCCATTTTGGATGGATGTTTTGACAGGTGCAGGATTTTCGCGTGCCACTGGTCAGATCTGACATGTGTAAAAGTGCTTACCAGGAACTTTTTAACTCCGACGAAAAAATACTTAATCCGAAAACTTTATCGGCAGTAAGGGAGACTAGACGACATCTTTATCAGTTCGATAAAAGTCCTCGATATGAGTTGAGTTCATTTCAATGTCGAAAAGTCTCACTGCAAGCCCTCACAACCTAGTGGTTTAAGTGTGCCTGTTCACGCAACCAGAGATAAAACTGGAGCCACTGAGACATTTGATCACATTCTTCAATGTCATTATGTCTCAAGTAGTTCATATCGAATTTTGAAAAATCGGGGCTGTGCGACGGCCGGAAATGCTTACCAAGTCTCCAATCAGAGTTTTCCACTTGGTAAACGTCATAAAACAGCTCACCAGTCAGACATTCGGCGGATAAACGTCATAGTGACTTGAGATTTACAACCAACTAATATTTTGGCTTCATAAGGCCGATACCAAAACGTTGGTTGTGAGGCACACTGCGCAGCATTTTGTCACTGCATAGCATCATTCCTCACGGTTTCAGTTCAAAGCCAGAGGAAAAAGAGCGATCCCTTAATACTGTTCTACAAAGCGACTCCACAAATTCCGCAACAGATCTCCCTTTTCAAGAGACGCAAAGCGAATTTACAAGAACAAAACCTACTGCTCGCATGCCTCCCCATCAGTAGTATCACCGTTACACGGGTAGCTCACCGGTGATTGAGAAGCCGTCAATAGAAAACTCATTTGACATTTGTGATGTGAATCACGTGACTGGACAATGAACGCCCCTGTATCTTGTCAAAGTGTGATTTAATCACGCATCACAACAGGCTGTAATCAGATGGCCAAAAGTTCAGACTACCATCCGAGCTTAAGACTCTCGGGAACTTCTTGAGGTGCGTACTGCAGATATTCTCTAGAAGGATGAAGCAGTTGTACAACTGTGTTCCTCGGCTTTTCAGTACAGAATGCCTCCACTTACAGGACAAATTTCCAATAAAATCCCCAGATCTCCTCACACTACTAAGAATTTATTCACATAATAATTAGAGGTCTTATGTGGAAATAAGAATCTATCTAGATTGTGTTTCTTGATCTCTTTTGTACGACTAAAATGACGCTGCGCGAATAGTTTCTTCGAATATCGTAATCACTGTTTTGCGATGCAAGGTAAAGATGAATGTTTTCACGTGGCGGTAAAAAATCTCGTTAATAAGAAAATCGGAATTCAATACGTGGCGTAATTTTACTCATTTGATCCGAAACCAAAAAAATATCATAACCAAATCGGTTAGACTTGAAGAAAGTTTACAATGTTTTGACGGACTAAATGGAGGCAGTAGCAGAAAAACAAAAGGTGAAGATGTGAAAATTTGGAATCAGTGTGCAACCAGGTGTTGAATCACATGTGGTCTAATGAAAATTCACCAAAGAAAACTGTTATTCAGCTAATTCGCCAATCTGCTTTAGTGCCGGAAAAAAGACTCACAAAGAGAACACAACAGCTAGATTCCGAACAAGCGAGTGAGTGTGTGCGAGTGCGAGAGCAAAATTTACAACACCCTCACGCTATTTAAAGGGGACTTTCTGACATTGATTCAGGCTGTGTGATAGGGGTTAATGAACACTTATCAATATTGATCATGCTTCTATGAAATGCCTGAACGCTGATCAAATTCGATCGCGCTTCTGTGGCCTACATGAACGCTCGTCGGCTTTTGCTGAATTGATTGAATGATTGACCGGCCTGGATGCTTGCCGGCTTTACTATTAAGATGTTGGTGGAGTTTTAGGGCCTCAGTGGGTTCCGGGCGTTTTGAGGTTACCTTCAAGAATCTGACCTTCCTGATAAGAACCGTGCACCCGTTCAGCTGTGTACCAGATTGCAACGCCGGTAATAATGCCACGTCTTGTGCATCTGGTGTTTAAGACCTTGTTGGCCGGTTCACCTATCTTGATTACCACATAAGCCATCACATAAGTGTTATCGTAGAATATTAAGTTAGTGCGCAACTATTCTAGGTGCGCGCAGCGTTTGCCGAATTATCATTTGCAACGCCATCACCGAATATCGCCGACGTCAACAGGCCTTGCACACAAGGCAACCGTATGGTTGTGAGACTTGATTCTTCGATTGGGGGACTCAAGAAGTCTTCAGGTGTTTGATCACCGGATTCTCAGTAGAAAACCTCAGCTTGCTGCTGTAATCCCGCGATGCTTGACAATGAACCCGAATCGTCGAAGCAGAAGATTGAACTTGTCTGGTTGAACTAACTGGGGAATGCGCTACGTGTGCCCGACCACCGTCTATCAAAGAAAGCAATGTTTCTCTTCCCATAGATTTCCGATTTAAGGGATAAGCCATGACTTGGCAGCGTGAAATCAAAGCCCAAACCGCCTGGTCTGAGATCTTTGAGTTTTCCTGGTTGGAGCCCATTGGCTAAGAAGCCTGCAGAAGATGCCACGCAGTCGATCCTAGTGGCACGGAGTTTGTAGCTAAAGTTCTCTCGCAGTTGCGCGCCGGTCTTACATCGGTTGGGGTTCGCAAACAACCCTGGATTGGTCCTTACTTAGACACGACGCTCCGAAATGCATACTTCAATACTATCTAAAGTTGTAGGCACTTTATTTTCTATCATTCCCTTCAAGGACAGAGTTTCTTGGCACCAAGTCTCCACCGTCCTTCCGATGCTTCATTTTTACCAAGTTTTTTTCCACACTATTGTGTGGATGTTGAATATCAACTTGTATTATTGTGTAGTCCTCCAACTGATGATGACGCGCTTTCAGTCAGCCCTCGGTTTTAACGTACGTCTTGTAATAAAAAAAAACATTAATAGCGCGTTGCTTATTCAGTTAGTTTCAGTGTCAAGCAGTGCGCTGATCTCTGAATTTGTGGTGCAAGCATTTCACGCCAATCCACATGTTTCGTTCTGAACAAAACAGCACTTGTGGTATTATATGTTCACTACACGCATTGAATTGTTTCGCTCGAAGGCCAAACAGAATTGTTTCTTCTCGCCAGACGCCACCTGACATTTAATTCATTTCTGCTAATAATTTGACGTTTCTGTTAAACTAACCCAAGACAGTTGCATGTCTGTCTTGTTAAAGAGCATACTGGTTCCATTCTATATGATTTTTATACCATTCTCAGATATCAGGTAGACAGTCGAACAATTATTACATGTTATCGATTAAAATATATGTGAAAACCAGCCGCGGAACCATCTGGTTTGTGAATGCACCTGTAAAGACTGTGACGTATAGGGACTGGTTCGCCAAATGCACCGTAAAAATGGTAATTTAAGCATAACCAGGTGATACCTGCAAGCATGCACCGTTTGAACTTTGAGTTATTATTTTTTTATACTTTTTTCTAAATTATCCTCTTGGGACGATCTTCACCACATCGTCTTAGTGGGGATCAGTCTGGTTACTAAGTTCAATTGGCAAAGTGCAATCCATTCAGATGTCACAAACAAGCTTGTGTTAGAAACCTACTCACCTGGAACCCATAACGGTTACGTATCTTCTCTCGCCACTGAAAAAACACCGGTTCCGGCAAACCACCAAGGTAGAGGACATTGGCAAGGTCGAAGTTCTTCGATCGATCCCCGTGCAGAACTTGGATCTTCAGCAATGTTTCTTTGAAGGTGCCCTTATCGAGTGTGCTCAACAGATAGTTTTCCGCTACGTTGTTTCTGAAATTTCAATTTGCGGTTTTATGATAAACAACTTTCCAGCTACCGGCAGAAAAATTACGACATTGCAGATATACTACTTGTATTGCAGGCCATCAAAAGCAAAAGCAGCAATATTTTGGTTGCTCAGATCGATTTTTTAGACGCTTCTATAGAGCAATCTAAGTTATTTTTATACTCGTTGCATTCGGAAAACGCAAAGCCTAGTAATCATCGGAATGCGGCAATCAGTTAACGCGAGTCCTCTTTTATTCACTGATATAAACTGGAAAGATATTTGAATTCGTGAATGAATTCAGGACCAAAAACGTGTTCCCGGTGTTCATGAATGTATTTGCTCCCTGAGTTTTTATTTTCAAAGAGATGATACCTCATTTTTCTCCCCTCTACTTTAATCGATTTATTGATCTTTTGGCGTCCACAAAATTCCAGGAAGTCCGTGCATTCTCAGCAATTGGAAATCGTTGTTGATTGAATGATTGCCACTGGGAGCAGCACTACCGACAGCCCCCGAAGGTCGTAAAGAAACACCGCACACTTTTGTAGGCTGCTCTTCTACATTGGAGATTTAAATGAGTAATATACCCATATTCCCTAAATCGCCACCTCTCATGAGGAGACCTAGTGAGTTTTTCTGTCACAGGAGAATCGTACAGCAGTAGCTCCCAAGAAACCTAATCGAAGCACCCTATTTCAAATTATCGACTTGACTTAGAGAGCATTAATTTGAACCTGTAGACTTAGCTAACAAGAGAACTTAGGATAATGTTACGCTGTAAGGAGATCTTCTGTGGTGCTCATACTGGTGAATCACTTGTAATTTCAATGCGGTGTAAAATAAACTGGCTGGCTATTAAGTTGGTTTCCAGAGTCCTCGTTACAGCAAGATCCGTTTCAGTAGTTATCATCTCATGGCGAGTAAAGATTGATGTTGAAAGCAAACCCCACGCGCCTCCTTTTTCCAACATTTATAACAAATAAACAAAAAAAACAGAATAGTTAGAATGATCTAAGGTTCTGATGACTTTTCGCCTATGAGGCTGTGTTGTGATCCAGCAGAATAAGTGTGTCTTTGGCGAATATACACTCACTTGCAAACTAATTTGGTCTTTCGAGAGACACACCTAGAACCCAGCTGAATCTCTCGTTTGTGATGTTCTCAGGATACGGAATGTGCTGCACCAGGCCGCCTCATATTTCAGTCGCTGCGATATTCGAGATATCGCGATACATGTATAGCTTTACTGGAACCCGTCCGTCGTGAATCGATGGTGTACCTAATTGGAATGAAGTGTTACCAGAAAAATACTTCGCCATAACGCTACGTGTTTTCTGGCTACACAGTTCTTGGACACGTGCTGAAGATTACCGACTTTTGAGAACTTGTCTGTCAAGCGTACAGTGCAGTCTTTCTACCCGGGGTTCGATTACCTCAGCACACTCAGAAGGAGCATTACAAACGCATGTTTTTGAAACTGTTCATCCAGATAAACGTCTCAAACGTGGAAACAACTTTGTTTGCATTTAACTCAGTTCTCTCTACCCCAACTTTGATCGTCTTGAGGTATCTTTGTGCGATCTGATTTACTGCTGACCTAAATGTACCAAATTTTTCCGAGATGTGAGGAAAAAATAGGTCGCAGTCGAATATATCAACCCTGCTGTTGCCGGCAATTCGTGTTTCACCGTAATCACACATAAATCGTTATGGTTACCGACACAAGATGTGGCAAAGTCATCGAATGAGAGTTTTGTTTAGAATTTTTGAGGATGGTTAGCCAGCTCCTCTGCCAAGTAATTTGATCAACTGTTCAGGAACGTAATTTCGGTACCGATTTTATGATTTTTCCTGCATCCACATGAAATACATATGTTATTTGATACGATGGCCTTTTTGGGTGAAAACGGTGCTCATTCCGTTATCGATTATTTAACACTTGACATGATTTTTTGCAATATCTTTGCCTAATCTGTTTGTCCATTTCAGCGGCTTAATGAACAAAGTAATTAACCAATGCTCATTGGCGCGTTGGATTTTATGCGCATAGCTTTCGGCTGAATATTTTGATAAAAAAACTTGACTGCATGCAAAGATCGTCTTAGAACCCCCAGATGATATTTTCTGACAGCAAATTCCAGATTCAAATAAGCGGCTCGAAAAGTGGTTCTGAAATAGCGTCGGCGTGCAGTTGGGCGGAAAAATCTTTGCGTATGATTACACCATATTGCCTTATCTCGTTCGCTCGCTCGCAGAACTCAGATTTGTCGTTTAGGTTCAAACATTTGAAACTACTTTATGTATATAAGCCACAGTTTTCTGAGTCAAAAAACCAGTTACAAAAGTTCGCCGGAGACACTGGAAGCAGAATATTACTCTTCTTGTTATACAAAAAACTACTCACAAGGTTGCTGAAAACTCTTCGACGGCCCATGACGGGTTTTGTCCTTCTTGGGGCCCACTAGGTAGGCGCAGTCCCCGAGTTTCCGTCTACCCTATGTTGTACTTGAACCCAAATTGAACTGTTCTTGTGAAATACACTCATTTGCAAATCAATTTGGTCTTCTCGGGAGACTCAACTGAAGCTCTCGTTTATTATATTCTACAGCTGAATGTCTTGGGCTGTCGACGAGTTTTCAGCAACCTTGTGAGTAGTTTCCCTCATGAAAATATACTACTCTCGCTCGAATATCGTGCCAACTGAAGCATGAGGCGGCCTGTGCAGAATATTACTCTTCTCGCTTCGTTTTACAAAGCTTACCGAACAAGCTCCACCGTGTGCCACTTCAGGTCATCCATTGCTGTATCGGCCAGCTGGTGATCTTGCCATCCGCTGCCCATATCAAACAGTACATGAAGACGTCCATCAATCAGTTCGAAGGCGATAAAGTCTACACCATGAGAACCAGGATGAAAAAGTATTAAACAGTCACGGAATGTTGTACGGAAAGCGAATCGGAGACTGAACTGATCGTACAACCGAAGACCGGGAAGCATTAGATAGTCGATGGCATCTCTGAAGGTCATCGGATGTGCGAGTTTGGAGTGATGCACTTGAGCTTGCCTGAAGAGAGGAGATCGTGGCTTCCGTATTGATCTCTTCTCTGATAGGTTGGAATGGTCATGAAGTTGGTTTTGTGACACTGAAAAATAAATAAATAAATAAATTGGAGATTACGGAACTTGACTCGGCTGTAAGGATGCACTGCACTCTGTACACACCATCAGTTAGTGTCTTCCCAGTTCAAAGGAATCAAGAACCCCTGTTTAAGGATGCCCTCCTAAGGAATGCATTGTCAGTTTGCTGTAGATTAAAATGGACAAAAAGTGCTGATTCAAACATTGTGAGGGCTTAAGTTGCATTTGAGGAGAACACGGGTGCATCCAAACTTAGCGCGCCAATCGGTTTTCCGGTTTATGAGGAAGACAAACGTTCAACTTATCTGTAAACTGAATCTAAGCTAACTGTTGTCGTTTTATTCCGATCCCATCTTATGTATTGTGGCTAGACACGCACGAAATTATAAGAATAATCATTAACTGAAAAAAAGACTAATTTTTAGGGGCGTTTCTACAGCACAGACCAATAACCATTATACATTCCGCCATTGGGAGAAAAGTTGAGGAAACTAATGAGTAGCGTGTCAGGAGAAGACACTTGTAACCGACACTTGTTTCGCCTGGAACAATGCAAACTTTGATGGTCAGATGAACGCGGTAACACAGAGCAGTTACTGCTATAAAGTTCCAGGTGGATCTTTCGCACGATGATATCTTGAAAGGTTTCCCACTATAGAGCTGTCATAAAAAGTAAGGCGAATATATATTCGTAATGCACTACGCATAGGGTTGCTGAAAACTCCTCGACAGCCCACGATTTGTTTCGCCCTTTTTGGGGCTGATCAGGTAGACGCAGTCTCCAAGTTTCCGTCAACTCTATGTTTTAATTGAAACCAAATTGCGCGAAATTAGCGAATATACACTCGTGCAAATTAAATAGGTTTTTTGAGAGACTCATCTGGAACCCAGCTGAATCTCTCGGTTTCGATGTTTACAGGCAACCGAGTGTGCTGCACCAGGCCGCCTCATGTTCCAGTCGCTACGATATTCGAAATATCGCGATACATATATATTTTTTGCCTGTATAAGACCTTTCCAGCCAAAACTCAGCAGTGGTTTCCTAACGAGTATTATGCTAGCAGTGAGAAATGGTTTATGTATCATAAGTGGACCAGAGCTCACTCCCAAAAAGAGCAGACCCCCTATAAGAGCATGAATTTGATTAGTCGAACAGACACTCTGTATCAATAGAGTAAAGGAAATCAAAACGCGAAACTCAGCTAAACTAAGAAGTAAATACAAGATGAGAATGGATTGAGAGCGCCGGAACATTGGGCTAATTTACTTGCCCGACTTGTGATTTTTCACGATCAGTTCGAGAAGGTGAGTTTTTTTAATCAAAACGCACGGAAACACATAAAGCACCAAGTGAGATTTATCCGACGGTACCCGTCACTCGGTTGCAGATGTTGCAAGTGGAAAACCAAAGAAAACATCTTTCAGTGGTTTTTTGTGGTCTTTAATGAGGTCATCTAGATAACCTGTTCCAGCTGCCTGAAGAGATGAATCTCCAGGAATGGATCGATTTCGGGTTATGGTAACTCTTCCTCTTCGTGGACGAATATATAGCTGTATAGCGCTACACTAAAAATTGAAAAGCGCGCATCCTTCCACAGTCAAATATTGCACTAACCTTTGAGAATAGCTGGGGCATTCGGGGTGTTCACCTGAGGTTCTGGAGCAAATGGCGTAGTTTCTGATCGCACAGTACATTCACATATGTGTAGTCTGAAAAACAAACAGCCCCACGATATAAATGGCACCATATATATATATATGTATATGTATGTATATATAAATGAACAGAAGGTCGATCAAATCACTTTTACCCATGGTGCCCTCTCCTATTGAAAACATATCAAACAATGTATTGGTAACACGTGACATAACGCAGTCTATTTTCATTCAGTGAATAAACAAAGCTAGACTGAAGCTGTACGACTTGGAATGTACTATGGTTCTGAAACCGATAGAAATTCGAACATCAAAAGTACATTTAACTTTTCGTGACATTCTTTTATCGGATTCTGTTAAGAGGTGTAGTATAAACACAGTATAACGATCGCAGGGAATTTGCTCTTTTGTCGGTCGTGTGGAGAGATTTGAAGGTTTTTACTAAAGATTTTGGGCCAAACAAGTCGAGCCAATGCTTGCTGAAATGTGAAAAATCACTTTACTAGTGTTTCGTCCTTACTGCGGATTATTAGTATTTTGCTTCTGACAAGTCTTCAGAGCAACAGAACCCATGACCTCTTGGCTAGCACTTTACCGTTCGAGAGCCAAATGTTTCACACTATTGGCTATGTGGCCACGTGTTTGAAACTCCTTGGAGTTGTATAAGTGATGTACTTACTGGTGATGCCCCTCAGTAAAGCGGAAACAGCTGTATGCTGTTCTCGTCTCGATTGCACTAGGCTTCCCTTTGGGATTTAATCTCGTGAGATGGTGAGGAACTTAGGATAACTTGGCTTTTCTATCCTGGATTCCCTGTCGCGGGCCAGGGTATATCGCAATCTGGATTTGTTGCGTTGAGAATTTCGTTATTCACCTTGGCTTAGTCAATTATCATCAAGGTTTTTGTTTGACAACTTCACTTTTCATCTACCAGTCACTAATGATGAAATTCTTTGAACTGTGTCTGTAATAGATAATGAAACATTCGCTGGTGATAGTGAAAGGAAGAAGGCCTTCGGAGTTATTTATTAGCAAATGCCAACTGAACAGTTACAGACTATTGGACAGCGAAGCAACACCTTCATATGCATCTTGTTTATAAAGCTGAATACCCATCTTCTCTTTGAACGCGTCTTTCTGACCTTTCCTGAACATTCACTGACTGTTGCTCAAATCCAAGCAAATGCTTCAAATTGAATCCACAAATTCCGCAAAAAATCTCCCTTTTCAAGAGATGCAAAGCGAATTTACAAGAACACATACTACTCGCATGCTTTCCCCATCAGTAGTATCACCGTTATAATAGTATAAACCTATGGTACGTATTCTGAATTGCCTGTTTCCTCACGACGCAATTTTGTGAAGATTGGCTTAACTACGAAGGATTACATTTTAAGTGTGATTGTCCACGAATGGAATGCACACAATTCGGACAAAAGAGTGAATGCTATTCCATAATATAAGACATTTCACTATTCTAACGGAACGCTCTGGTATTTCCGGGAGTGAAGCTACTTTAATAATGTTACTAGAAACCGGGGCTCAGTCTGAGCTTTTTGAATGGACACTGAAAAAAATGGACGAGAATCGGGTATGGTTCTGGCGAGCAGGGTCTGCTTGTGTAGTAAAGCAGAGTGATTTCACTAGGAACGGCACATCGAATACTAGCGGGCGCAAACACAAGTTGCCATCAGTCCCATTTAGAGAATATGTTGTCTCGCTCCCGACTCCTTGGCCAGCGCCTGAATACCACATAGAGCCCAAGGGATTTATTCGAAATTTTTAGGAAGCCACGTAGAAACCTGTAACCAGACAAGAAAGGATTACTTTGTAAACCCACCTGAATAATGATAATTTTTGTGCAGTTCGCCGCATGACACGCATCAGTTCGGAACTGTGTCTCAGTGTCGTCCCGGTGTTCCACCGCTTATCCACGTTTTTCAGAAAATACGATGCGGATTGTCGTCGCGTCCGTTGATCAAAATCCATAGGAGAACAATACAATATCCGGTGTTCGGTGCATATTTTCGGGTTAAACAGTCCCGTTTGGGGGGGAATGGCACACGGGGTACAAACGATTTTTGCGACCCGATCAACGAATCTGAAGAAGTCGATAGAGTCGTTCAGAGGTTTAGGAAAAGTACAAAAATAAACTGGTTCTGTCTGAAAGTCGTTCGACTGATCAACGTTTCGGTTATCTTTCGAGGTTGTACTTCCGGCAGGCTCAGTGGAACAGCTCAATGGAATTTTAATGCAACACCGTGTATCCGGATGAGAACTGTGCAGCAGATGGGCTTTGTTTTCTCCGTACTGATCTCATGAAATGTGGAGGAATAAAAAGATGAAAATATTGTTAGAGTTACTTTGAAAAAATATAACTCGAAGCAAGGCTGCGTGTTACACGTAAAATTTTGTAAGGAGATGGGAAAACGCTAACTGTTTTCGGGATAATAAAATCTGTCGATAATTTGTTTTCCTTATGCTATGAAGGTGCGTGATTGGGACTTCGCAAACTGTGAGGCGGATTTTACCGTAAATGTACTTTTCTGTACTAATTGGCAGCACACAGAGAAAACAGTTTTGACAACTGGGTTTCATTCATGAATCTTTGTGTGAGTTGTATAAACTATACACCCCTACTCGGAGCTCATCAGGCAGGTTCAGTCCCCGAGGTTCCGTAACACTTATGTTCGACTTGAACACGAATTGTACGAAATTAGCGAACTACACTCATTTGCAAACAAATTCGGTTTTGAGAGAGACTCACCTGGAACTCAGCTGAATCTCTCGTTTGTGATGTCTTCAGGCCATTGAATGTGCTGCACCAGGCCGCCGTATTTTTTCAGTTGGTACGATATTTGAGCTATCGTGACACATGAATGGACGTAATGCACTACTCATAAGGTTGCTGAAGACTCTTCGACACCCCACCACCAGTTTTGCCCTTCCACTTCGGGCTCATCAGGTAGGCGCAGCCCCCGAGTTTCCGTCAACATTGTGTTCTACTTGAAACCGAATTGCACGAAATTAACGAAATACACTCATATGAAAACAAATTTGATTCTGCAGGAGAATCCACTGGGACCCAGCTGAATCTCTTGTTTGTGATGTCCTCAAGCAATTGAATGTGCTGCACCAGGCCGCCGTATTTTTTCAGTTGGTACGATATTTGAGCTATCGTGACACATGAATGGACGTAATGCACTACTCATAATGTTACTGAAAACTCTTCGTCCTTCTTGGAGCTCATCAGGTAGCCGCACACTTGGAAACAGTTCTGATAACTGGGTTCTATTCAACAAACTTTGTGTGAGTTTTATAAACTATACCCTCCCCTGTTAAGTATACAAGGTCCAATATAATTTTTTACGCCACTTTTTGGCTGGGACTCACCAAAGTTTGCGCCTCAGGTTTATTGAAACTGTTTATCGGTGAATAACCATACCGAGATCCGATCTCTGGACATTCACCGAAAAAAGATTTAACGGATCACACGATACAATAAATGCACCACGTCTACCAGGTCTAAACTGGCAAATATATGCGGTGCCCGGTTTTACGCGTTGGATGTTAAATTTTCCGAGAACCTGGTGGAGGCCGCTGAGGGTCGGTTCTGCCTAATAAACCTGCGTCTAATTTTGAGTCAAACCAATCTTTTATCTGGTACTTAAGTCCAACAAACTGGAATTAACTTAGTGAACATCAGCATCAGGGTTCATACCGCCTTGTTAAAATTTGCCTCATATATTTTTGGGTCACGTCCACGCAGTTTTTACGTGTTCTATACGCCATTTTCCTTGTTTGAAATAGAAAAAGCTTGTTTTTGTAATGTACTACTCATTTGGTTGCTGAAAATCCATCGACAGCCCACGACCGATTTTGGGGGTCACCAGGTAGGCGCAGTCCCCGGGTTTCCGTCAACCTTATGTTCTATTTAAAACCAAATTGCAGGAAATTAGCGAATATACACTCATTTGTAAACTAATTTGCAAACCTTGGTTTGCTAAAATACGATCTGATATTTCTTTGTTCTCCTTAGTACAACCCGGATGTTTGTCGTTACTTTGTCAAGCTCTTTTTGTGTTGCGCTTTCCTGTCCGTTGTATAAGGTAAGGCTACCTTCAGACATCTTGGTCTGTCAAAAATCATCTGAAAACACTTGGTTTTTGAGAAAGTTTCCGGTTAACTTTAATCTTTATGATTATGTTATCGCAATAAAGTAGCCCAAAATGAACGTTTTTGTATCCTGCGCCTGCATTCTTCAAAATCACACTTCTTTTCATGAATCTTCAAACAATCGTTTGAGAAATTGCATTCGTTCCTATTTTATCAAATCGTTGTTTCAAGGGCAAACGAAGTGACACGAAGTTTTCCGTTCGAACTCAACGCTGAACTGCTCTTGTCTGGACCTGGTTCACTTGGCAGTTTCCCTACCTCGGTGCCTCTTACGCATGCCTTGTGCTCGAAATGGACGTTACAGGTGAACAGTCATTACTGTTAACACTGTTATTGGTACTAATAAACCGAGGACGTATTTTTATTGTTTCCAAAGTTTATCCAATGTTCTATCACTGATAGGTTTTCGTGTTCCAGAAGGAGGTTTAGTTTAAGAGGTGATATGTGAGGCGACATCGAACAAGGCAAGCCAAGCCCGCGTCTCCAAAGGGACAGAGGCTCTAGACAACTTTTTACCTTCAGCTAAAATTATTTAGCCTTTAATCTTACATTTTTCTGATAAATTTAAGAAGGGGAATGATGATGGAAGCTGTGACCACAAACTGAGGACTTGATGCCTCAAAACCCCTGAGTTTAATCGAAACAACCCTCTGGCAGTCCCATCTCCGTCCACATCCTGATGACATGTACTGCCTCGACCATTGCCGTCCATTGGCTTTGTCAGACTTGGTCGTACTTTCGCACCGCGGTTCACAGCACTCAATGGGTCCCAATCGCCCAATTGTATTGCTGCTTGCTGGACTAACCTCCGATATCGTAAAGTAATATTCGCTGCCTGGCACCAATCAGAGCTTGAGATGATTAATGCCTGTGTATTTCTCTGTAATACATATATTTGTATTTGGTGAACGATGGTTGATTTTCGTTCTGACATTAACGTCTCCTCACTTGCACACTTTCTGCGCGTAGGCTGGGTTTACTTCAGTGCTAGATCAAGGCGGACCATTGGCATAGAGCCTTCTAGATTTGCAAAAGTACGTATCGGCTGGAGTACAAGCGTCTCAGGAAACTGAATTCAAACTCTCGAAACAAACGAGTTGCTCATCTTCGAGAAATACACTCATTTGCAAATCAATTCGGTTTTCACGGGAGACTCAATTGAATCTCTCGTTTATGATGTCCTCCAGCTGAATGTGCTGCACACAGGCCGCCTCATGATTCAGTTGGCACGATATTCGAGACGTCGCAGTATATTTCCATAAATTAGTGTATAACTTAGTGTATTTCTCGAAAACAGTCCAAATTGGGTTCGAGTGGAACATGAGGTTGACGGAAACTCGGGGACTGCGCCTACCTGATGAGCCCAAAGTGGAAGGGCGAAACCGGTCATGGGCTGTCGAAGAGTTTTCAGCAACCTTGTGAGTAGTTTCCTTTATGAGTTGCTCATCTGCTTCGCTGGAACATGACAAACGGTGCCAAAACAGTTTGACGGAGCGAAACAAAGTGTTGATCACAATGCCCACAAAACACCTTCAGCAAAGCGAGACCAGTATCCAAACTTACAGTTCAGGAACGCGTGCGAATAGTTGGCCAGCACCACCATCAAGTTAACCTCTGAATGTTCGCCTGGCTGAATACAATCGATAAACAGATAACTTTACACACAATCCGGTACTCATCGGTATTCTCAGAGCGAAAAAATCTGTCTAGTTATACGCCAGTTTCTGATATGTAACAGTATATCCCTACCAAGACTGATTTTGAATAAGGAGATCTCCGAAGTTAACAGAAACTAGTTCATTTTCAGCGCCAAATAAAGATAAAAGTGCACGTCAATTCCACAGGCCGGCACATACTGTAGAAATATTTGGTTTATCTACTGTCAAAATTTTGTACTTTGAACATCAGTTGAAAGTTCTTTAAAACTGACACTCGAATCAGCTTATGGACAAGCAATGACAAGTAAGCCATATAGATAGAAGATGCCTTTCTGACTGTAGTTAAAGAGTTTTGAGGAGGCAAAGAGGTCTTTGTCTTTCTCGAGTGACATTTCCAAGACAATACGCAACAACGAGAGTAACGAAGCTTCAAAACGCTAACCAAGTACCGTTTGACAGGTGACGACGTGCGTTTGTGACCTATTCTACGAACTGTCTACTCCTTAATGCGGTTAACTCTAACGATGATTGTGAGTGCCAGATGATCCTTGGTGGTAGGTTATCCGGCTTTCAGGACTGGATAGAACAACAGCGGTCTTTTAAACAATTCCAACTCTCAGAATTGTGGACAATCATATCGCCCAGATAGAATGCCGCATGTCCTGCTACACCTTTCGGTCAATGTTGCTTGTTCCAATTGATTCGGGTGTGGATAAGGCTGTCAAGCTGCATCACTGACCTTTGCCCATGAAGTCCAGTCTTCCTCGTGAACGGCCGGCACATTCACTGACATGAAACACATCGCGCTGGCATTGCTGGCACAGTTTTTGGACGCGTTGAATAGGCCTCTGATGTGAACAGGTGCAGCGCGGTCTGATTCAAAACAAGAAGAGAAAAAGTCAAGTTTGATTGTCCGAGCTGGTTTGAACTGTGAATGTGTTGTTGTTTTTCCAAACTGGGCATGATCAAACAGGCAAATGGTTGAAAATATAAAAAAACGGCAATGTTGTTGGAATGTGCAGCTGTCAAATACTTGTTCCGGTATCTTCACAACACGGCATTGAAGCGAAACATGTGTTCCTGATTAGCTTTTCTTCAGGTTATCCAGTGGCATCAAAAACAATACAAACAACGTATACTGATAGTAAACAGCCT